GGGGCCTCCTCTGGACTCTCTCCAGCAGCTCCACGTCCTCCTGCTGCTGTTCCCAGGGCTGGGGCAGCTCTGCAGGTGATTTTGAGACAGAACATTTAAACCTATAAATTGAAATAGATTAAGCTCCTGGTTAACTCCTCCCAGCCCACCTGTCCTGCCCAGAGCTCTCTCTGCCCTCGGGGTCCCATCCCTGCCTGGGCTGTGCCCGGGCCCTGCTGGAGCTTAGGGGGTTATATTGGCTCTGGCCATTTGCTTGAGATTATCGGTTTAGCCAGTGCTGCCTTAAATTTGTTTATATAAAAACAATCCTTTGATCCACGAGCCAGATGCAAATACTATCTTGTGATTCTGATGGGGATTAGGTCGTTACAACATCTTGACATGTTTTTGGTTTTATGCAATTTAGAATATGAGGGGAGGAGACCCGGCCCCGGGAAGGTTCTGGGTGCTCTGCACTTGTGCTGTAGCAAACTCAAATCAGATTGATTTGCTCCAAAGGCACTGACCTTCAGAGCCATAAAAATAACAACTGCTCGTGCTGCCTGGAGTTGGTTTGATTTGACCTGATTTTTCTGGAAGCTTTTCTTCCAGAAAAGCTGAAGCTGTAAAGGAAGCAATTTTACCTGCTCTCTATCCTCCCCAAGGAAAGACATGGCATTTCTGAGTCTTTTGCTCGTTTAGGAACCCACTTTGAGCCAAAAATCTCCTTTAGCTTTCTCCTGGTTGAGGGTTTGATGTGCTGATCCTGCTCTGTGGAACTTGTGGGACACCACTGTCTCTGAGCTGCCCTTGTTTCCATCTACCACAGGGTTTGGGCAGCTTGACTGGTGTTTTGGTGGGGTTTTCTTGTTCCAAGTTTGCAGAGCCCTCAGTAGGACAGGTGGGGGTGTCCTGGCTTTTCTTTTTGTGCCTGGAGATCAGTCTGTCAGTGAAACCTTCCTGCAGGTGAAGTGCTTGTTTTCTGAAGAGCTGACAGCACTGGGGTGCCACCTGAGACACCCCTGAGGGGCCCTGAGCAGTGCAAAGCTGACCTCAGGGGCACACAGACTCCTTCCAGGTGCTCCCTGGTTTAATGCATCAATAAAGGTGGTGGCATCAGAATCATGGGAATCATTCAGGTTGGAAAAGCCCCCCAAGGTCCCCAAGTCCCCCCTGTGCCCAATGCCCACCTTGTCCCCAGCCCAGAGCACTGAGTGCCACGGCCAGGCCTTCCTGGGACACCTCCAGGGCTGGGCACTCCAAACCTCCCTGGGCAGCCCCTGCCAAGGCCTCACCACCCTTTCCAGGGAGAAATTCCTGCTGATGCAGGGCCAGGAGTTGGACTTTAATAATCCTTGTGGGTCCTTTGCAGCCCAGGAGGTTCTGTGATCCCTGCAGCCGGGCTGAGCTCCCTCACTGCTGCCAGGAGGGTCCAGCAGGTCCTGTGTGGCTCCCCTGTGATTCCTTGGAGATCTCGTGGCTGTTCCTGCTTGTGTACCCCTGTCATCTGTGCCACAGTGTGGTACCAACCACCCCAGGCCCCCCATTTCTCCTTGCCTGGGCTGCTCAGGGAATTCAGGGACTGCCAGTGCTTCTCCCAGTTCCTAGTTAGGACCATCCCACTGTTCCAGTGAACAGCAGCCCTTGTAAAGCCTGGCAGCAGGAGGAGCTGGTGTGTGGAGCTGCTGAGAAGCAGGTCCAGGGATCCCTGGAGTATTTTCAGCTCCTTCAGGAGGGTGTAGGTGTATGTTTTTCTGTAAACTGGCAAGTTCATGTCGAATTTTCCTAAAACACCACAGTGAGCCACTGATGTAGCTGGGAAGACTTTTCCATGTGCTCCCCTGAGGGTTGGATTAAGCTGTGCCTGAAGGACACTGGCACCATGGCTTTGTTATAAAATGAGCTCAGGGAAGGGGCAGCAGCAGCTCCAGGTGACTGAGTGTGTGTCACTCTGGGAGTGAGCTGTTGGTATTTATTTTCAGGCTGTTTGAAGCCAGGGCTGAGTGTTCCTTGCCCCTGAGCAGAGCTGATGGCCCGGGGAGCTGAGCTGCTCTCGGGGCTTGTGCTGCTTGTTACGCTCACCTAAAACTGCTCAGTGTCATAAAATCAGAGAGTCCCAGGTGGGTTGGGTTGGAAGGGACCTGAAAGCTCATCTCATGGTGGGGAAAAACCAAACCTTGT